AATGCAAAATGTTGTCAAAAGAAAAGTGATAAGACAGAGCGATGAAATGTATAGTCTAATTCCAAGAATGCAAAGAAAAATGCATTATGGCTTAATGAAAACATTCATGCAACAGACAGACAGGATTTTTAATTATTGCATTACTGCGTTCTGGATTCTAATGTCCACTATATAAGAAAGGTTTTAGAAAACAGTGATATTTTCCATATTGTCAGTTACGCTAGCTGTTGATTGAAAATCAGGAATTATAACAGCATAACTATTTTTGGAGACTGGAATTTCCAGCCAAGGTTGCGGAGATACAGAGACATGTAAACATTCCAAGGAATTGAGAAGTCGTTGTTTTATATTCCAAATTATGAACAACATTATTACATACAGCCATAAAGAAAAATACATAGCTTTTAAATACATTCAATGCAGTACACTGCAGCATATATTTTATATAATATATGCTAACTAGCTCATATTTTTTCCTAAACAGAGTTGAAATTATACTACCCTCCTAGAAAAAATGGCAACAGGTGGTTATACATCCTTTGCTTCTCTAAATGCTATGCAAAAATAAATATTTATAAAATTATTAAAAATAATATATGTAAGAAATCAGGGCAAAATAAAATGGTAACTATACAGGATCTCTGATAACTTTTAAACTGAAATTATTAAAGGCTTATTTAAATAAAATGTTAAATACATTTACAGCTTTAAATGTGACCAAAAGATATTAAATGATGTGTTAAGCAGCCAGCCCAATTCACTGGAATAGCATAAGTATTCTACTATTTAAAGTGCACAATTCCTGCACATAATGACTTTGCTTACTTAGGTACAGTATTTAGTCTATTGCAATGGCAGTAAAGTCCACCAATTTTAAAAGGGAAAGCTTACTTAAATCATTGGTACTATCCCACCGTACTAGCAGTAAGGAAATTAGAACAATTATATTGTACTACTGACTGTAATCAGATCAGACACATGTAATCTCAGTGAATTTCATAAACTAGGTTTTTATAAAATACGATTAAATAAATAAAAGTATATAGACTAGGCAATAACAGCAGTTACATGCATTCAGCAGCCTGCTCTCTCAGAGCCAGAAATGGATTAAAATAAATAAATATAAAAAGTAGGTTTTAAAAAGTCCGCAATCACCACACATGATGGGTGTAATAATTGCTTCTTTAAAAGCTATATGCTGCCGCAATTATGTATATAAATACAGATTAGGGCACAGAGTAGATATAAAAATACAGTTTCAAATCTCATATATGAGGATTCAGTTCCACCACATATTCTACAATTCTGAAAGAGGCTAATTTTAATATGTTGTAAAAGCACATATAATGCAAAATTAATTTGATATTGCAAGGCTGCAATATTCTAAACAGACATTAAAATTTAAAAAAAAAAGAAAAATAATAATGCATAAAGAATAATGTATAAAAAAATGTAGTGTCAATTAAAGTGATAATACTCTGATATATTAAATCACATTGCATATCACATATCTGCTATATGAAAAGTATAATTAAGGTGACTTTACTGCCCAATGCCCCCTCACATCTATTTTATAGAATCTATACTTTTTTGTGGTCACCTCCAAAGAAGCCTCTGAAGCTGGGGGGCTCAGAGGGGTGCTCATCCCAAAAGGAATCAGATTCCAGACTTAAAGAAAAATAAATGATAGAAAAGGAATTACAGGAACACCCAGAACATGCATTTTTGTATATAATCTTAATTTGCAGATATTTTATGCCTTAAAGACATATAAAGGATATTTAATTAAATATGCAAGTATCTTTAAAAATTAAGCAAAGTAAAAAAATAAAAAAATAAAATAAATAATAATAATAAAAAATATATTTTACACCACAATATAAACAGCTTTGTTAAACAGATTTAAGTACAAGTACATATGTCAAGAAATATACAGAATACGTTTACAACAGGCAGTTTAGCATAAATGCAAAGTTGTTTTTTGGGGGGATTTATTATTGCCCAAGAAATCTCTGAACATATTCAGAATTTTTAAGAGCAGCAAGTAAGACAGCAGATTGCAATGGACACCATTAAAATATTGCTTTACCGATTGATGTCAGAGCTTTAAAGAATAAATGAAAAAAAAATGTTCTATAGCTCACTAGACCGCTGGCTTTTAATGAACAGTTTGCACAACACTTATAAATAGTTTGTAATACTGCACATTATAGCTGTGACAACATAATACACATGGTAACAATGCTATGTCACTGTTTAATAGATTTACCCAGTATTTAAGGACGACGTGTTTCTTGCAAAGTCATCGGGACTTTGAGGGAGGTTCTAACTACGTTTAATTAATTAATTTACTAAAGAAAAAAGAAGAGGTTTTGTTTTTCCCCTGCAAGTGAGTTTTCAGCGCAAGGTCATTTTGTGTTCACAGACTATTCGGATTTAAAAAAAAAAAAAAAGCTGTTCTTTATCTCACATTATGAACGGCCTTGTATTTACTATCCACACTAAAAGTTGACTTCTAAATGTTATCGTTTTAACTTTAATATTTCATAGTTAATACAGAGAATAAAGTAATTTAAAGAAAGTATATTGAAAGTATATTAATTGATAAGATTTCATTTATCTATTTTGGTCCACTGTTCACTGATCTCGAGTCTCAGTCTGGTGTTCAAACAGTTTTTCTTACGATACGTCGTGAGTTTATATCCACAACTGCATTTTGCTTTGTGGAAACAAATTGAAAGCCTGGCATTGTAATATGTGTATGGACATGCTTATAACAAAGCATGGGCCCTCTCCTCATGTAGTTGGTCATTAACAGGCACTTTGATGCAATGTGTCTACCAACGCTTTTCTGTGGTCACTGGATCACATCGCATACCCTATCTCTCAGTCATGCTGCAGAGTTTATGCTTGCAAGGATATCCAGACCTTATCCACCTGGTATCCGCATAAATACTCCTATCGTTTAGAGGGGTTAATTACATAATAACCATTGAAGGTAATATGTTGGTTGTTCTTCCTATAGAGGAAAGATGGACTTGCCCTAAAAGCTTTTTCATGGCTAGGACAAGCTCTTATAGAGAGAGGTAATGTACTTCTGACTCCTGAAAAGGAATATTGGTGGTTCAATATGGGAAATACTGTAATTCATGTGTTTAGTAATCATAAGCATTTGCTTATTGCCACATTACTGATGTACTGTTTATTGAAATATTAATATCCAACATACTTTTTGAATTACTATATATTGAAAGTTTGCCAACATCTCATGGTTATAAATATGTTTTTGTATGTGTTGATGCATGTACCATGTTTACTTGGATATATCCTGTGCGAAGTGCAACCTCTGATGCCATGTTTTCTAGTCTCACTTCCTTAGTATGCATTTGATAATCCCAGGACCATCCATTTGGATGGTGGTCCTGCAGTTACTGCAAAGGAAACCTAAAACTGGGCAACCACATTTGGGTTACTTTGGGATTTCAGTGCCCCAACCACCCCCAAAGAAGTGGGGTTGTGGTCTGGGAAAATGCTGAGGTTAAATGATTATTAACCAAGTTACTAGTTGCTTGCCCCACACAGTGGTATCTATTTATTCCTATGGTACAGATAAGCATTCACAACATACCTGATGATACAAATGGTGGGACACCATATGAAATGTTACATGTTTTTCACTGACAAACATATTTCTGCACCAGGGAGAGCTTGGAACCATTGGTTCTATTAGAGAAATTTAGGGAATTTTTTTCCAGCCCACCTCGCCTTGCACCACCACCTATTTCCTTCTGTTGGCCAGCTTGTCCTAGAGAGGGTGACTCAGATAACTTTTACTACAGAGAACAATCAGACCCAACAGAGAACAGTGAATTTGATATTTTACAACATGCTAAAATACTTCAAAGACGTTCACAGAACCACTGACTGACACAATGGATGCTGTTAAAGATGACAAGATAAAACAAACAGAGGACGACAGAAAAGCCACCAGAATCATAGCCATGTAACAGACTGAATCATGATCTGACATCTGAACCTGCAAATGTGAAGGAGAAGGATGAACAGACAGACGTGATACATTCACAGTTAACATGGAATGTACGAAAAATGAATCATCAACATCATTATAAGAAAGACTCTGGAGAAAACAGACTGAACCTGAATTATCTTATACAGTAAGAAAGAAATGCAAAGATGGAAGCAAAAGGATGCTGGAAAATTGGTTATGGTGTCTCCTTCCTACAATCTGCAGCATTATCATAACATCAACCCTAGCTGTCGTTTTAAAACTGCATTGGGATTATGTTAACAAGCAGGAAGCACCTGAAATGAATTGGACTGCACACTATACAAGTTCTTTGATCGTGAGGACTACCTCCAAGAACTATCTCAAAAGGAGAGACACAGCTCACAGTGAAATGATTGCTAATGTGACCTACACTGGTATTTCACAAGGAACCTATTGAGATCATTCCAAAAACCGGTTATACGTGAGAAAGATGTGATTGAACTATTTCAAATCCTAATAATGGACTCAACGATGATGGCAAAGCATGCTGAAAACAGAAAAAGACGAGATAGATGCTTGTGAAAGACTTTGGATGCACCTATGAAGGTGATTAAGAAAAGAGTTTGCAATATAGTTTATCATTGAATGACTACAGCAAACAGCCTTCTTATGCTGAAAAGAAGTGCTATACTAATTCTGGACATTGCTATTATCCAAACAGACGATAACCGGAAAAAGAAATAAAGGCTGATAACTGTCAACACCCAGCTATTTCTTAAGATGGAACATGGTACTGAGAAAACCTGATTGACTATCAAAGCACCTCACAGTACAAGACACAGATTGTTGCCTACGACTCCGAAAAGTGGTTAATAGGAAGGAGCAGAAGAAGAGGAAAATAGATTTCCTACTGGAGTGAAAAACCATCCTGGAACATATTCTGTAACAATGAACTTTACAATGACATTTGGTGGCATATGAATTTGAATTTGGTAGAAACACATCAATTAACAAAAGAAACCTTGATTCAATTAATAAATAATAACAATACCGGCCTACTAAGAGCAGATGCCCTGCCAAGAGAATGGAATATAAAAGGCCAGCAAAACCTGTCAGAAACCTGACATCACGGGACACTTGTACTAAAGCACGATTTGCAGCTTTTCTTAAACTCTACATATTATGTACATACCTACAAAGCAAGGAACTCCTGTAAACATAAACACAGAGACATTGATACAACAAGGAATCTGTAATGGTTCTGTTGCAGATGTGATCTACCGTCATACTCCTTGCTCTTTTGGTATAACTATACCAATCAAAACGTTAAATGGCTCCATAGAATCAAACGACAAAGGATTCTTGCTATATTCTGGACTTCCAGGAATGTGGTGCATGGACAGAAAAATTGTAATTACTAAAGCAATCATGCTATTGTTTTCCCTGTATCAGAAATGTGTCAGTGACAATGTGTAATATAATACAGATACTATAATTAATGGTATAAGACACACATAATGTGTTAATTACAAAGGTGGATAGACTTTGTGAATATCTGAAATGCAATTGAAGATTATTGCTAAAATGCCATATGCAGCTGCAGCCTGGCCTACAAACAAATATATTAGACATAAAGTATAAGAGCATAACAGCTAATTACCCAGATAAATAATTGAATCATGATAGTTAAAGATCATATGATTGCAATAACAACTGCAATAATGAATGTTTTAACCTTAAAAGAAAATGTGAAATGTTTTTATTAAATCAGAAACTATTCGATATTCGTTTAAGTTTGCAGAGTGGTATAATTAATATAAAATTTAACTGAAAGACAGGCAGAAACTTTACTTCAACTATCATAAAGTTTATTTATAATGATAAACCTATCCAGTCTGCCAGAGCTAAGGCCAGTCAATGGAAAGTAAAAGAGTATTATTGATTAACCCATCCAGGTGATATACATGATGAATTTAGAAATTAATAATTTAGGTCACCTATTGCAAACTGGTGAAATGAGTTCTAAGATATAAATTCAACATCCATACCATTCTATGTATATTAAAATAAACGTAATCAGATATTTTATCAGTTTTTCAAATACCAAGAAAATGTTATTTGGTTTGTGATGGTTAAAGGTACATAAAACCACTTATTCAAAGGTAGAGTTAAAATATAAATACCTTCAATATTGTATCTGGGTGCTTTCTTACCTCACTTTTAGAAATAATAAATATTCAAATCATCTAAAATTAAATCCAACAGCCACTGAAAAATATACTTAAACAATTAAGATTCACATTGTTAAGCATCCAATCTCACAAACGTAACTTTCCACAATGGCTGTCAGATCTTGGAAAAAAAAAAAAAATGTTTTTAAGACAATTTTTGGGTGTTTATGGTATTTTAAGCCAATAATAACTAAGGAATAAGTTGTCTTCTCCCTAACAGGTCAAAGAAAGATAATTAACGTCATATTTCCAATTAGCAACTATTCTAAATATATTGAGACATTTTGAATAAAGTAGTATTTTTAACATTTAAAGAGAATGTAATTTTACATACCATTATGAACAAAGGCGGTAAATACTTTGCTGCTTCAAATTATCCCTATATCTCTAAATCATATACAGGGGTGTTTATCTTTAATACAAAACACTAGAAAGATCAACTATGTTACTATTTCATCTATCATTATTATACAAACTATAACAAATGTACAGATTTTTCCACAGATTTTACCTGTTAACATTTTTAGCACAACAGCACCTGATGTCAGTGAGATGTCTATCACTGAGATGTTACAAAGATTCAAATACCGCAAAAAGAGGCGTTCTTGAGAATCCACTTCGATTGCTGTATCAACATAACACTTACTATAATGGGATCCATGTCACTTAAGACAATGTCTTGGAAATGCTGTCAATTAATTTATTCCGTAAAAGAATATCGGAGAGTATCCAATCTATACACATCATAAACTGTGTAAAAATGTTTCATGGAAAAAACAGAAAGCAAACAAGCAAAGACAAATACCAACGCCATCACCACGGTGATAACAGATGATGCTGATTCAATATCTGCAACCACTTCTATCCAAATACTTGGAAAGCTGGACTCTACAACCTATACTCTACAACAAATACCCGGGTATTCTACAAACACAACCTCCAGCAATGTATCTAAGGAATGTAAACTTCTACAGGCCTTTAAAGACTTTGGATTACAAATACAATTACTACTTTTAACTTTGGATTACAATTCGTATCCGGATCTATCCAAGAATATCTTACTCTGGAACTTGGTGTTCTTTTCAATTCTTTCCCAGACAAAAGCTTTGCTCATTTTAATCAACCACCTTTACAGGCAAAGATCACACTATGGATATTTTACTGTTACAACAATGATCTAAGATGCTGGGAGCATAAAAAATCTAAAGACAGTTGGAGAACTTTGGTTTACTAATTTAAGGAAGAAATGCGCTACAATGCCCACAGTTTAATGGAGAGGGTGTTACGGGCAAATGCAAATATTACAAGTTTTAGAATGAAATGCTGTATTTCTTAAACTGTGTACTTTGTCTTTAAGAGATATTGCAAACTGACAAGGTGTTAGAAATGGAACATATTGTTTTTTTATAACTGTTTCTTTAAGCAATAACCTCAGTGCATAATATGTTTGCGCAATTTTGTCCCAGACAAATTACAATAACAATAATGCATAAACAAGCTTCAAGGCTATGCTACGACTCTTTCAGTACACAATATACTGTGGTAACCTTAGTAGATAAGGATGTTCAGACTTTAAGATGCCATCTTGAACTAAGTCAGGAAAATTTCCATGACGTATGCACTCTTTAGTTATGGCCTTGTATGTTTGCCAAATTAAGGGAGGTCCTAAAATGAATAAAGTAAAAGAAGTATTACTTTTTCATATATGAACTACGGTGACCCTAAAATGAAGACACCTAAGGTATAAATAGGTGTACTTTTAAAATGTTAAGACACAGAGGAGAGACTTGGAGACAGATGCTGCTCCATCTTAAAATGACAGAGAGGCTGACATGATGACATGTTCAGAAGGGTATGTTAACCTATTAATGATATTTGCAAGCATGTAATTTAATCTTATAAACTCTGCTATAATGGATTTTATATTTTTATATAATAAATATCCAAAAAGACAATCTTGCTTCCAAGACAATCCTTATTTTATATTGTATTCTCGATTATTTATATATGTTAAATAGAGGGTCTCTTACACTATATAAAATTATGGCCAAGATATCTGTATGGTTAGCCCTACTAAGTTCTATGCTTTAAGACATTATAGTGGTAAATAAGGGAACCACCAGCGGTTTTCTGGTGGGAAAATTCAAAAGAACTTTCCCACGCTGTGTAAAATGACTCAGAGCACTCTGATTGGCTTAAACCCACCAATCAGAGTGTTCTAAGCCTAAGTGCAGGGCGGGGCAAGGCTTTATAAGCCTTGACCCGCCCTGCGGAGCTCAGTCTGCGGCGTGCCCTCGAAGGGCGAACTTGGATTAATTTTTTTTTGCACTCGTTTTTTTTTTTTTTTTAAAGTGCGACGGGTGTAATGGATTTTTATTTGGCCTTTTTGGGGGCTGAAGAAAGAAGATTTTAGAAAAAAGAAGACGTCAAATGGTAAGTTTAAATTTTTTTTTTTACAGGTTAGTTATTTTATTCCCCCTCACTATTTGTAGGGTGAGGGGGGTAGGTAGGGGATAGGTTTTTTTGGGTGGGGGGTTGGTGACTAGGGGCTTGGGACCCCTAGTCACCTTGATTGGGGGGGGGTGTTTCATTTAGGGCCCCCACCCACCGCTCAGGGGTGGGGGCCAGGGGGGGAGGACAGTAGGTCCCCCCCTTATTGTTTTATTAGGGCCCCCACCCACCGCGCAGGGGTGGGGGCCAGGGGGGGAGGACAGTAGGTCCCCCCCTATTGTTTTATTAGGGCCCCCACCCACCGCTCAGGGGTGGGGGCCAGGGGGGGAGGACAGTAGGTCCCCCCCCTTATTGTTTTATTAGGGCCCCCACCCACCGCTCAGGGGTGGGGGCCAGGGGGGAGGACAGTAGGTCCCCCCCCTTATTGTTTTATTAGGGCCCCCACCCACCGCGCAGGGGTGGGGGCCGGGGGGGAGGACAGTAGGTCCCCCCCCTATTGTTTTATTAGGGCCCCACCCACCGCTCAGGGGTGGGGGCCAGGGGGGGGGAGGACAGTAGGTCCCCCCCCCTTATTGTTTTATTAGGGCCCCCACCCACTGCGCAGGGGTGGGGGCCAGGTTCCCCCCCCATCTTTATTTAGGGCCCCCACGGGCATGGGGGGGGGGGGTTATTAGTTTTTTGTTTGTTTTTTTACAGTGAGCAGCTATACGCTGCTCACTGCTTACTACACATGCCCCTACTCGCGGTATAGCGAGTAGGGGCATTTAAGTTACTAATACTAAGTAATCTTTACTTAGTATTAGTAAATTTGGCTGAAAGACCAATTTAGGTCTTTCGGCCTTTTAGTAGATAACTCCCTGATACCGTGGGAATTAGGGAGTTATCTACTAAACGGCTGCAAGATGCAGCCACAGCAATGAATAGGATCAGAGTTTCATTCATTAGAATGAAATTCTGATTCGAATAAAGTGCCGAATTGCGTTCTAAAAGAAACGAACAGACTGTTCTCATTCAGTTAGAACGCAATTCGGCAGTTTTGTGGAAAGTGACAGGAAGCATTGTGGGAACACTGAGGAAAGGTAAGGATCATGGGAAAATTGCTCTGACCAGCGGAAATGAAGCACACTTTGCTCCTCCGCTGGTCAAGCGGAGGAATCCCCCATAAGGCAAAGAGTCCCTACTTTGTCTTATGATTTTAAAGAAAACTAAAGCAGACAGCAAGAAAAGAATAACAGATCCTGAGAGAGGGGGAGAAGAGGAAGAGATTGAGGAAAGGTAAGTTCGGCATGACAGTGCCGCTTTAATGAGTTAAGGGGGACCGCCAATCTAAATAGTGTATTTAACAGTATAGTGTCATGAATACATGTTGGTATTTCTGATCCTATAGTGTTCCTTTAACCACTTAAGGACCAAACTTCTGAAATAAAAGGGAATCATGACATGTCACACGTCATGTGTCCTTAAGGGGTTAAAGAATCTTACTATTGGTATTACTCCTGAAAAATACTGCTGAATATGTTGGCATTTTATAAATACAGGAAATCTTTTGGAACTGACAAACTTTACTTTTAAAGACCAAACTGATCTCTCTCCAACAACAAGGGTGTGACTCTAGTTTAAATGAACACTTGTGGCTAATAAATGTATTTTTATGCATAGGAATAACATTAACAAAAAAAAAAAAAAAAAAATATTAAAAGAAGACTTTCCTGTTTATCATGTGTTAGCAGCAGATGGCGAACCTACCCTTGACTGAAAAACTCTTGTTTGTGCTGAGCAGTGTCCAATCATAATCTTTCCAAAGAGAAGCATTTGATATTCTAGCTTTCAGCTTAACAACCAGTCCAATGCTTCTTACTGGTTGTCACCAAGCAGGTACCGGGAGAGGATTAAGATGTGTACGTGTTAGCCACACAAACAGCACAGGCGACCTATATTAGCAGGAGTGCTTACAGTGTAGTGCCCCTGAGTGTAAAAGGCATTGCAAGCTGATAGCAAACAAAATTGCACAAAATCTACAGTTGCTGAAGGTGGAGGTATTTTCCAAGAAGAAACACTGAACATAGAGTCCCTGTACTATAACCTCTTCTGCTTTGGTTAAAGTATCCCTTTATGAATGCATCTCAATGCTAATAATAACCACACATTAATTACTGTTATATATGTTATTTTAGCATTTCAAATGAGAATTAAAGGGTTTGTGAAACCACAGCAAGATACATTTGGACGAATAACAGCTGCAAAATAAGATAAGGACATTGGCTATTATACATACCTAATGTTAGTTGATGTTTGACTTTATCTAAATAGAAGTCTGTGCAGCTATGCTTAAAAAGGCGCAACTTTTAAAATTTTGTTTACAATGTGTAAGCAGATAAATTCAAAAGTGAAGTTAACTGCCAAAAGATCAGTCCGTGCATGTGCTTCAAATACAGACTTCGAATGTGAGAAAGAGAGAGAGAGAGAGAGAGAGAAAATGAACACAAACATGCCAAAGAAAATGATTTAGCATTAGTAAAGAAAAACATTCGGCAACAAGCATAGCAGGATCAGTACTAAATGCATTAAACAGATGACAGAAAAAAAAAAATGCAACAAATTGGTCTACAGGAAGAACATGCAACATACTACACTTTTAATGATGACAATAAATAAAAACACCTAATTAAAAAGTTCATAAGCACAATATAAAATGCGCAGACACAAAAAGCATTTTTCACAAATTTATTAACATTTGAAATTTCACAATAAATTACATTTTAAGATTGTTATGAACCTTTTGCCCTGACTGGTTTGTCAATGGTATATGCAATTGTACTCTCATATGAAGGTGGAGGGGGGGCCATATTAAAAAAAAAAAAAGTTTATGTGAATTACGTATAAAGTGAGATTGTGTCTCATGTTAAATGGTGGTTTGAGGTTTGTGTAAGGCATGTTTTTATCCCTTTAATGAGGTTGTGCTGTTTAGCAGTGCATTCCTCCAAACTTTATTTTTATATCATAGATATCTCGTAGGTGGTCATTTAACAGTTTCCACAAACCTTGGAGGTAAGTCCTTGATAAGAGTTCATGCGTCAGCCCAGAAAATTCTATCCCAGACTGGAAAAAAAAATATTCATGCAAACTTTACACAGAGCCACTCACCCAAACACTATTCTTTCCATACTAATGTCACAGCCCAGATCCTGATACTTACAATCTTATGCAGCACGAGTCTTCTGTATAAAAAAAAAAAAAAAAGCAACATTCTATTTTCTATACAAAACAGGTTGTCCAACCTTTAAGATAAACACACACCAGTGCAAAATGAAATCATCCTGCTGCATATGAAAGGATAAACCTTCTTACCCCTTAATAACCAGTTATCTATACACGCACTCACCTCATCACACAGTAGCTGATATAACTATTCTGAGGGAGCATATAATTGCCACTGGAATGTGCAACTTTATCCCCTTTTCTAACTGCGATGTACTCTGTAAATTACCCAGGAAGGGGTAGTTACCATTTACCTACATTTAATCAGGCTTGTGGTATTTACAATAAGACCGTATTCTTATTATCTGAATTTCACACTTCTACGGTCAAAACAGAAATAATGATATGTAAGCCCTTTTGTATTACATCAAAAGCAGTAATACAGTCCCCTATACAGGTAAGAGAGCCAAAATATATATTGATACAATGTGAAGAACGTGATAAAACACAGATAATCAAGTAGCAAGTTGGTGAGGCCACCTATGGTTGTCTTGCTCTTCTGCATATCAAATCGGAGACATTATCAAACTATTGAGCTAGTCATATGATTAAAAATACATAGTCAACTCCCCATTACAAGCTGCCACAAAGACCCCCATCCTCCCACCCTGTGATGTGGTGGATGTCACGTTTCCCATGTATAGTCTCTGAAAGCAATCTGAATAAGTCGCAGTTCTAACTGGAATGCATCTGGACGTTCTTGGGGGTTGACAGAGAGCATCTGGTGCAGCAGCTGCTTCATACGTCGATTCATGGACTTTTTCTTGATGGGAAGAAGTAGTTCCATTTTGGGATTTTCAAGTAGAGCTTGTCCTACAGGCACCACCTGGGTTCCACGTTGCACATAACCACCCAACAGTCTTTTCTTAGTGTGAGTGTCGGTAATTGTAATTCTCTCCAGCATAGCCCACAAAATAACACCAAGTGCAAAGATGTCTGCTTTAGCAGTGTAGTGCCCTTCCCAGACCTCAGGAGCCATGTAGAAATCTGTGCCACAAGCAGTAGACAAAAAGCTCTTGTTGACACTTGCTGGCTCCTCTGGGTTCAGACCGGAGCTGGAACATACTTTACTAAGACCAAAGTCAGCTACTTTAAGAGTAGGTTCATCTATTCCATCACGGGACTTGCATACAAGAATATTGTCAGGTTTGAGGTCACGGTGAATGATCTGGTTTTTATGTAGGAATGCAAGTGCGCTGCTCAGCTGCAACATGAAACTGGTGTTGGTGCGGCGGCTTGGCCTTCTGGTCAGGATATACTCATTCATGTCTCCTCCATCACAGAAATCCATCACGAACCACAGACAGTAGGTGCTGCGTGGATCAAAGGCAATCTCACCCTTTAGAGATGTCTCTACCAACTTCAGGGGAAGAAGAAGACACAGAATTGAGGAGTAAAGATGAGTGAGTGCAAACTATTAACCCTGGCCCTCACACAATTAGTTCAACAGGCGAGAGGATAATATGTGCTAATGTAAGGAAATAATCCAGGGGTCAACAAATCAGCACATATAAGGTTTAGCAACATTCTTTTGCTTTTTGCTTAAACTGAACTTAAAGGACCATTATAGTGCCAGGAAAACAAACTCGTTTTCCTGGCACTATAGAGTTAATAGGTCCCCCCCACCCTCATGGCCCCCCTCCTGCCAGGCTCTAGAGGGAGGAAGGGGTTAAAGGCTTACCTTTCTCCAGCGCTGGGCACTCTCCTCCCTCTTCCGCGGCAAGACCCACGTGCGCAGTCAGTCCATAGGAAAGCATTCTCAATGCTTTCCTATGGACGCTGGAGTCTTCTCACTGTTAATCACAGTGAGAAGCGCCTCTAGCGGTTGCCTCTAGAGGCTGGATTAATCCTTATGTAAACATAGCAGTTTCTCTGAAACTGCTATGTTTACAGCTGCAGGGTTAACCCATGATGGACCTGGCACCCAGACCACTTCATTGAGCTGAAGTGGTCTGGGTGCCTATAGTGGTCCTTTAAGAATAGTTGTCTAGTTCAAATATGCAGTTCTTTTTAAATGAACAGATGTCATTCAGAGCTCACAGGTTGTACAACTCAGCTAAAATAAAGCATCACTGCTTTGCTGATCATACATTACACTTCCCATCTTCCCTGACTGTCCTTCAGTGCGGTTTCATAACAAAAACCCCATGCACAATATGGATGCATATTTTTTGTTTTAAGTTTCCTAAAAGTGCATTTAAAAAAAAAAAAAAAAAACACGTTGCTTTTACAATGTACATTGGTGTAGCAGAAAAAAATATTTTTCAACAGGTAAACAAAGCAAAACCTGACACTGTAAATGAATGTTGTGTCACACTTTATAAAGAAGGTTATCATAGATACAAAAATTTAAAAAAAAACAAAAAAAAAAAACAATTGGGATAAAATTATCTGACAGAACATATATCTGTACAAAACAATTTAGAACTTACAACACATCTTTATAATAGCTCATCAAAAAGATTTATTTTTAGACTACTATTGTGGCTCCATATAACTCCTTAAAGCGGCGCTGTCATGCCGAAATTACCTTTCTCCAAATCGATTCCTCTTCTCTCCCTGTCTGCTCTAGTTTTCTTTAAAACATAAGACAAAGTAGGGACTATTTTGTCTTATGTAGGTTTCCTAACCCTGGCCAGCGGAGGAGCAAAGTGTGCTTCCTTTCCTGTGGTGAGAGCGATTTCCCACAATTCTCACCTTACCTCTGATCTCACAATGCCTCCTTTCACTATTATCGAACGTCCAGTCATTTTAGACAGAACGCCGGCGGAACTACCGAATTTCGTTCCAACAGAATGAGAACAGTTTCTCCATTCGTGTTAGGACGCAGTTCGGGACTTCATTCAAATGAATTAAATTCCGATCCATGCCTGCATCTTGCAGCCGCTTAGTAGATAGGTCCCTAATACCATGGGAATTAAGAGAGTTATCTACCAAAAGGCTAAAAGACCGAAATTGGTCTTTCAGCCAAATTAACTAAGTAAAGATTTCTTAGTATTAGTAAATTCTGCTCACTGTTGTAAAAAAAAAAAACAAAAAAAAACACAACCCCTAGTGTCCCCCCTCCCATGCCGTGAGAGTGGGGGCTATTAAACTGAAGGGAAAGGCTTTTTTTTTTTTTTATTTTTTTTTTTAACAGTGAGCAGCCACAGGCTGCTGTTTAGTAGACATGTCCCATACTCGCGGCATAGCCAGTAGGGGCATTCGGGAGATTTTAATGCTATTATGGGGGTCATATTGACCTCCATAGAGTGAGGGAGGACATGGGGGCTTAGTAAGTGGCTTATATTTTTTACATATTACAAGGAGGGAGTTGTGCTCCCTCCTTGTAATAAACCAAACGAACGAAGCGGTCTTCGTTCTTTAGTTTGAAATCTCTATTCATTTATTCGTCTTTCTGAAGAATGGATGGAATTCCCGTTCGAATCCTCAAGTGTTTAACTGGGCATGCGCAGGAATTGCACAGCACTATCTAGTGTGGGCAGATGACGTATCCCACAGGGGCTTCATCTACCCACACAAAGATGGCGTCGTCCAGGACCTAGGTCCGAGCATGAAATAAAGATGAGAAAATAGGTAATATGGGGGCAACACTTAGATGTAGTGGAGTCGGGAAGGAGGGAAAAAAAATAAATAAAAAATAAATGGATTCGGCCATGAGAGTGCCGCTTTAAGCAGCCCTAGATCTGTGTCTGAAGATGCTTTACAGATTTTCCCCTATCAAACCCTATTAATTGTCCCCGTTGCCTCACCGGCAGGTAAAGTGCTGAACTGGACCCATGTAACATTCGTTGAACTGTGCCATCCCTTTGCAGCACGCATTCCTCTAGGTGGATCACATTTGGATGCTGGCTTTGAATACTACTTAAAGCCCAAAATTCACGCAATGCCAGTTCCACATTCTCTGGCGCCTGACAACGTATTTTCTTCACTGCCACTCTTTGAAAGGTCCTGCGTACCAGAGCCTCATATACCACCCCGTAACTGCCACGGCCCACCTCCCGGATCAAGTCATACTTGGGCTGGCTGCTGACCATCTTCAGGTTCACTGTGGACAAAGATAAGACTAGAATAAGACTTATGCATAAATGCTTGTTTTGTTAATAAACACAAATGGAAAAAATATCAACAAGCAATTCAAGATCTTCCTAGTCTTGACGTCAGAAAATATAGATTTTATTTAAGACAGGAGGTGAATATTATGTGTGACGAGACCAATCTTGCCACATTGCATTGGAGAAGCCTGGTTGCTCGTCTGTTGCCTTTGGATTATGGCCCCATGTTAAAAGGCTTGATTTTCCCCTGCAAAGACATGAAAGCCGGGTCATTTGGTGCTTGCCCTGTTTGAGCAGTGATACCCCAGATAGCTATACCATGGAGCCCATTCGTATAATGAAAGACTATGGGAAAGACTTTGGCTCCATGGCAATTGAACTGTATGTGTGTGCTCTGAGCGCTATTCAGTAATAATGTGCGCTCAGATCTGAGCTATCAGGGGATATGTTGAATGTAGCTGTTTTGTGCAATGGCTGCACAGTTATATGTTTTTATGTGTTTTATTGTCTTTTGCTGCCATGTGCTCAATGGAGTTTTGCCTCTGTCCTTGGAGATAATTGGATTACTTCCCAATTATCTCCAGGATAGAAGATCTGTGGAACTGGTTTTGGGCAGAAAAGCCATGCTTCCTTTGGTCACAAAGGACTACGATCTATCTTTTGAACCACTGGACCAATTTGGATGATTTTGACATTTGTTTGTATTTGGAGTATGCGGATTCTGAATGCTGATAGAGACTGATTGCTAGGAGTGTAAGCCGCTTGGATGCTTTTCCAATTCGTCTACTATCAGCGATTCGTATGGTTCCAGTTCGTGAGTTTGGAGTGTTCTATTGTATGCCGTTCGGGAATTTGGAGCATTCCCTTACATGCGGTTTGAGAGTTTGGTGTTCTACATTAGCTGTGCATGCATCTCTGAAAAGGGGACGATCGCCTAAACGGTTTTAACCCCTTGTGTGCTGAAACGGTCCGTTACATTATGCATGGACTTTCTTTACTTAACTCTAGCAGCAAAAACATTTTTTTTGAATAAAGTTTAGTAATAAGAGAAAAAAAAACAGAGTAACCCAAAAGGAACACCCCGTAGCCAATCAGCATCTGGCATAGTCTATAATAGTGAATGATCCCCAATATTATTCTTTCAAGCTGCGAATCTAGAAATAATATCTAGTAAACTCCAAGGATAAGAAAGATTAAACTCCATACAGTATTAAAGCTGAAACAAAGAACAGGGTGGGTTAATAGGAGGGATAATACTCGCCTCCTGTCTTTAATAAAATCTATATTTTCTGATGTCAATACTAGGAAAATCTTGAATTTTATAACACGACAGGAGGGTCGTATTATTATGTTAAAATCTGAATGATCATATATATCATATACATTGTTAAGATATTACAACATTATTCTTGAAACATGCATGCTAGGTCTAAGATCAAACAGTTTAAATGTAGATTCTGAAGATCAATCTGCAGTTTTTAACAGGTCTGATAAAGAGCCACCTGCTTGAAACACTTTAGTAGTCATAGCTCTTCTTGAAGAGTGAGCTCCAAACACTGAAATATCAATACCTGCCATAGACAGTTTGTCTTATCCATCTAGCTAAAGATGTAGAGGAGACAGGCAGAAAAGATTTACGAAAAGAGATTAGCAATTGAGAGAAATTAGAATTTCTTACAGATGAGGTTTTAAGCTCATATATTTGAAGACAATCGACAACACATAGAAGAGGATGGTCAGAAAAAGGACAGAACACAGAGCGGAGATTAGTTTGGTACGTCTAACAATAGAAAAATTAACACCATCAGAAGTATATTGTCTATTATTTAAGTCTAAAGCCTTAACATCATAAACTCTTAAATTAAATGAGGTATAGTAATATGGTAATCTTAAATAAAAGCAATTTTAGGGATAATGAGTCATTGTCACCCCACAATTCTATTAACTGGAGTACCAGAGTAACATCCCAAGTAGAATGATATTTAGGGCATGGAGGACGCTTAAATCTGATACCCTTCATAAGTGTGCAGACTAAGGGATGTTTGCCCATACGGAAAAATTAAATAGGGTCGTGATTTGCTTAGATTGCTGATCGACAGACATTAATGGTGCGATAAGCCTTGCCTGAGTCAAACGAGGCTGACAAAATTTTTTGAATGTTTGAAAAATCTGAATGAACGGGATCCACAGCCCGTTCCATGCATCAATTAAGCCAAATCTTGCAGGCTGATATGTAATTTGCACGGGTACCTGGTGCCCATGCTTCTGAGAGAATGTCTCTAGTTGATTTTGAAAATTCACCACGAGATTCGTATGACTAGAGATGAGAGAGGCTATTAAAAAAGGTAGTTGGCCTAATAGTACTAGAGGATGAAGATTTCCCTGCGGATCGCAAAGAGCATCCGGACGCATTTGTATGAGTCGTGGGTAGTCTATCAGCATGCTGAAAAGCTGAGGGAACCATGGTTGTGATGGCCTGAGAGGGGTTATTACCCCATGGGTTGATTTCTGAGACCATGCTTTCCGAAGTATCTGGGATATCATCGCAAACGAGGAAATTGCATAATTGGCTTCGTCTTTCCAGCACTGGAGGAATGCATCCTGATTTGCGGCCTCTGGATCCGGACGCCAACTGAAAAATGTTTCTAATTGGCGATGATCGTCGTGATGCAAAGAGGTTGTATTGAAAAACGGACCCCACAGGGAAAGTAATCGTTGGGATCCAACATCCAATCACTGTAATCCACTAAGAAACAGGAATTCCAATCTGCTACTGTATTGGGAAGGCCAGGAAGATATTTTGCTCGTAAAACTTTTTCGATCGAAGCAAAAGTGCCAAAAATCTTTGGCAATGTCCGCCAGTTGCTTAGATTTTGTACCTCCTAAGCGATTTACGTATTGGACTGCTGATATGTTGTCCACCTTGAGAGGAATAAAAACAGTGGGATTTTTGTTTCGCAAAGCTGTGTAGAGCGAACAATCCTGCAATGAGTTCCATGCAGTTTATATGCACTCGCCTATTGTGGAATTGCCTCCACAATGGGCTCCCCAGCCTACTTGACTCGGATTCTATAAATCAGATCTGGGAATGATGTGAAAATGGCTTTTCCGCTCCAAATTTGAACATGATCTAACCACCCAAATAGTTCTGTTCTTGTCTCTGGAGCCAAAGTTTTTACTATTTGAAGAGCCTGATAATGAAGGGGGCCAGAAAAATTGCTTGAATCAAGGCTGATAAAAGACCTACAAATCCTTGCCAGAGATTTGATGGAAATGAATTCCTTGTTAGAACTGACTGGATCTCTTTCCGAAAAGTTTTCAATTTCTGCGATGGAAGACAGAGTGGCTAAACTGGAATTCACTAGAAATCTGTTGTTAACAGATTCAATGTCCATTGAGAATGAGGGTGAAGAGTTTGCACACTCTGACATAATCAAGATTTCGTCTAGATAGATTATCATTCTCACCCCCCTGCTTCGAAGCAGGGATACTACAGGTTTGAGCAAGTTGGTTAAGCACTGAATTTCCATTTCTTCCCTTCCCATATGCATTGTAAATAATTCTGACATGAATGGTGAATAGGTACGCATCCATCAAATCTATTTTGATCAACCAGTCGTTGCGTTATCAATAGGTTTTTGATATAATAAATTCCCTCCTTTGAAATGGTGGTATCTGACAAAATTGTTTAAATATTTTAAATTTATGACTGGTCTGTGACCAGAATCTCTTATTTTATTAATTTTTTTACCAAGAATGAATTGCTTATGAAGCCTGGACTGCTCATGGGCACCTGCATGATGGCATTTTTTTTTTTGAGCATAAATTTAATATTTCTTGATGGACCATTGCTTGGTCTTAGATCAAAAATGTTATCGGGATAGGTATTTTTCTTTGAAATGGATATGATAAATTTATTTTGAAGTTTTTAATCTGACTCCAAACATGGAAATAACAAGTGAGTCTGCCCCCTAACCCTTCTAGGGAAGAAAGGGGATATTGTCGTACTTACCGGATGAAGATCTGAAGCGAGACATTCTCCGATGACCTCTTGATCTCCAAGAATGGATTTGTTTGTTGGGTGTCATATGAGGGCCTGGTGGGCTGAAAGGTGTTCCTTGGAACCCGTCTATGTTGAAAGGAGCGACTGGAAAAGCGGTTCCTTCCTCTTCCAGCCTTTCCAAAAACCTTGGGGTTCAATACATTCCTCAGAGATGACTGAGCCTTACCAAGGGAGCTAAATAGATATTTATTACCGTATATACTCGAGTATAAGCCAACCCGAATATAAGCCGAGGCCCCTAATTTTACCACAAAAAAAACTGGGAAAACGTATTGACTCGAGTATAAGCCTAGGGTGGGAAATGCAGCAGCTACTGGTAAATTTCTAAATAAAAATTACCGGTAGATCCCAATAAAATTACATTAATTGAATATTTACAGTGTGTGTATATATATAATGAATGCAGAGTGTGTGTGTGTATATATACACACACACATATATAAAATGAATGCAGAGTGTGTGTTTGTGTATATATAATGAATGCAGAGTGTGTGTTTGTGTGTTGTGTGTTGTGTGTATATATAATGAATGCAGAGTGTGTGCATATATAATGAATGCAGAGTGTGTGCATATATAATGAATGCAGAGTGTGTGTTTGTGTGTGTATATAATGAATGCAGTGTGTATATAATGCAGTGTGTGCGTTTGTGCATTGTGTGTAAACTGGGTGAGGGGAGGGCATTTTTATTTTAATATTATTTTAATAATATGTTATTTTAATAACATTATTTTATTATATTATTTTAATATTTGCATTTTTTTTTTTTTGTGTCCCCTCCCTGCTTTTGTCTGGCCAGGGAGGGAACAAATTTAAAAAAAATAATGCAAATATTAAAATTATTATTTTACTATTATTATTTTAATATTTGCATTATTTTTTTTTTAAAATATTTTTTTGTCCCCCTTCCCTGGCCAGGCAATTGTTTTTTGCATGAAAGACATTGCAGTATAAATTGCGGATGAAATTGATTTGTGAACGGATAAGTCTACAATATTTTGTGAAGAATCCTCAATGAGGATTTCCCAGTCAAGAGTAGCACCAGGTTTTGGTGACTGAGAAGGAGTTTGTCTAATTTCTTTGGAATTCATCGTTCAATATTGCAACGACTATTAGTAAATAGTAAAATAATGTTGCAAAAGATTAGGTAAAATACTGACACGAAAGTCAAATTTCCAAACTTATAATAACTACCAACAAAGAGCAACAAAGTTGTGGAGAAACACTGTGCTGAGTTAAAGTGGGCAGAAAAGTTAGCTGAAACCCAACTAACTGAATTTCCCACCCATAATAACGTCATCAACCTACGAGTGACTATCTAAAATTGCACGTGCAGCGATTCGCATGAAAAAAACTGTTGAAATAAACTGAACAGTTAAATACAAGTTCATACACAAAACCTGCAAACGCGAGTATAACTAATTTTTTTTAAAATGGCGCGATTTGCGAGAAAACTACTGAACGCGAGTCATTCGAAATAACTGAAAAGTAACAAGTTGTATGAAAACTACCGAACGTGGACTCACTTCGGATGAAAAGGCGCGAATGCCAGTGTGTATGAACCAAATTTTTATTTATATAAAAAAATAATTAGAAAAATATATAAAATTACTTCAGAAAACATACAAAACACACACACACACACACATACATACACACACACACACATTTAACAAAACCAGAAGGTATTCATATAGAAAACAATAATATAGATCTACTGGAGCAAGAAAGAAAGAGGAAGACTATTGGGGATCATCCACTATATAGACTCTGACGGATGCTGATTGGCTACTGAGAGTTCCATTTCAGTTACTCTGTTTTTTGTCATTTATTCACTAAACTTTATTGAAAAGATGTCTTTGCTGCTGGAGTTAAGTAAAGAAAGTTAATGCATAATACGAACTTCCTGTCTTGATATAAAATTAATAATTAAAAAACAAAAACAAAACAAAGTTATCCTAGAGCACTTCAGCTTGCGATCAACCAGACAATTGGTTCTATTACTTCCAGGTTGTTTAGCTCAGTGGAGCAAAACTAAAGAAGCAGGTAATTGCCATTAGCACCGGTCTTGAATATACTTCTCAATAGGCTTACACTGGTAAGTCTGTAATTGGACAGTCACAGAAAGCCTACTAGGTTAGAAGAGAAGGCTTGCAAAGGCTTCAGACAAGATTATTACATGTTTTGCAGCTTTTTTTTTTTTTTTAGATATGCAGACGATGAGGGGAAAGAACATTGTTTTGTCCTGATGAAAGCTCCATGTGGGAGCTGAAACGTTGACTTTTTAAATGGATTGAATAAAAGTTAAATTTTATTTGAAAATCTCTATAAAGTCCTTGGAGTGCGGTCATTTCTGCTCTGTCTACATGATCCTTGCCAGACCAGCACCTGGCACCACAGGATTACACCAGGAGTGCAAGCCCTCGAGATTATATATATATATATATATATATATATATATATATATATATATATATATATATATATAGTGGAGTGTCCTTTTAAAAGAAATAAAATTTCATCAAATGCACACTATATATTTTGGTAGCCTGTGAATACGATCAATGAGGAAGTCTGACTGTGCGAGATCAGGGACCAGGTGTTGAAAGAGGCCGGTGGCATAGGCCTGAAGGTCTTGGTGGGGGACCTCCTCTGGGATGCCGCGGAGGCGGATGTTGCTGCGCCGGTCCTTATCCTCGTGGTCGGCGACTCTCTCCGTCAGGCGGCCTAGTTGTTCTTGTATGTCTGCATAGGCATCCGCCAGAGTGTTGTGAGCGGAGATAATTTCTTCTGCTTTCTCCTCTAGGTGCGACGTTCTATCTCCAAGCGCCTGGATGTCTGTCCTTATGTCTCTTGCCATTTTGGTTAGGTCGGCTTGCAGGGAGGTCTGCATGGCTTGTAGCATCTTGTGGACCGAAAGGTCCGTAGGTTGGGCCATCGTCGGTTCAGAGACTGAGGTGATGTCGCTGGCGTCAGAGTAGGCCGCTGGCGAGCGCTGCAGTTCCGCGCCATCTTGGGCCTGCGAGCGCGGCGTCGGAAGCATTTGTATTTGCAGCAGGGATTGTTTTTGCTTCGGTTTTTTGGCAGATTTTGATGCCATGCTTTGAGAGTACCTGTTGCAGGTTTTGTCGCTGGGAATGGGCGAAATAAGCTGTTCTAATAGCTGTGGAGGGTCAGTTCATGGAGGAGCTAACAGCTCATGTGACCGTCCGGTTGAACTGTCAGCCACACTATATATTTTGAGGAATACAAAAATCAGATTGTACCGAAAATGTGACCATTTTATTGGATATTATTATAAAATCTCAAGACGGCAGCTAATCTATAATTTATTGTCAGGACACCCAGCTCACTTCAAGAATAATGCATTATATTTTGTTAGGTACTGTGTGCAGATCTCTTCAGTTAAAGAGCTGGCTCTGTGAAGTGATTTTGAGAAATTATAGGGTGTTAAAACACAGCCTTATGTAATATATTGGCACTAACTGACCCGCCTATATTAAAATAGACCATGGAAACTTACTTGTCACTGAAGCACGAGGTCAGACTTTGTAAAACTGTAATCTAGAGAATATTCTGTAATAGAACATGAGCATCAAATGCAACTAACACTGTATATATATATATATATATATATATATATATATATATATATATATATATATATATATATATATATATATATATATATATATATATATATATACACACACATACATACATACATACATACACACACACACACACACACACACACACACTCTGTCTTTTTCTAGTTTAATACACAAATACATGCAATAACAATACTGTTCTAATGTAAAATACAGGCATCATAATAGTTGTAATGTCAATATGCAAAAATAACTAGCATTTCCAACCAGTGACCTAAGATGAACATTTTAAAACGGTAAGATTCCACTCCAATGACAGCATCTCTAACACTGACGTAGATATTGTATGATGAACAAAACTAAAGCGGGAATCCCTATGCATCACTGACTGCCGACTGCTTTTGTATGCACAAAGTGTCACAAAAACGGCCATTTTATTTAAAGGGTTACTCCAACCACCGAGAACACTTCAGTAATTTGAAGTAAACACGGTTGTAGCAGTCTGGATATGCAGAATTTCAGATTAAAAATCTGCACACCCACAGTTTTAATCACTTTTGTGCCAAGAGCCAATTGAATCATCGGCAAATGTAAAAGTCAGTTGTGAGTTTAAAACTATTTTCTTGTGTGCGGACTTTTCCTTAATCTGTAGTTAGCATATATTTTTGTCTTTACAGCAGCAGTACTACTTAGTAATACCTGTACTGGGTGTGTCGCTACCCCCAATTACCCTTTCTTCTGTGAAGATTTGAAATCCAGACATGATTCCTATGATTGAACACAACACACACTGTGGGTGCCCCACAAAGGATGACAGTGGGAAGGCATACATTTGTGAGTCTATGGAAGCAGTTTAAGTAGTAAATACGGTAGTTATAATGTTTATCTCCCATATTAAAAATTAGTGTAGAACACACCAATTTTGGGGTATGCTGTTTATGCACCAATATTTAGTGTGTGCGGTTTCTTAAAGGGGCACTCTAGGCACCCAGACCACTTCAGCATATTGAAGTGGTCTGGGTCATTGTCCCTGTTCTATCAAATTTCCCTACCCGTGAAAATCCCCTACCCTTGTCACTTCCGGTGAGGGAAATCAGCTGGATCAGCTGCTAGCACTCCTGCTCCTCCTCCACAGCAAGGTCCAGGAAGATGAGTAAAGCTAGTTTTACACTTTCATTATAGTTAACGCATTCACTAAGCTTAGGACATGGGACATTTAGGGTTCAAATTAGGGACTTGTTTTTATTTAGTGATATTTCACATTAAAGGATCACTATAGTGTCAGGAAAACAAAGCGGTGCCCTATAGTGCCCTAAAGGGGCGTGGGGGCCACACCCGCAGGGTCCCCCTCCCATGGCGCTGAAGGGGTTAAAACCCTTTCAGCAGCTTATCTTATTCTGGAGCCGGGCTCCCTCAGCACCTCTCCTCCCCCGCAGACATCAGCGGAGCTGTCCGACGTCACGGGATCCGAATGCGCGGCAACTGCCGCGTGCGCATTCAAGCAGTCAAAAGGAAAGCATTTCTCAATGCTTTCCGATGGACACTCTGCACAATGGAGGAATAATATGCTTCCAGCGTCGCAGATGCGCCTCTAATGGCTGTCCAGAAGACAGCCACTAGAGGCTGGCTTAACCCCAAATGTAAACATAGCAGTTTCTTTGAAACTGCTATATTTGCATCTGAAGGGTTAAAACCTGAGGGACATTGCACCCAGACCACTTCATTGAGCTGAAGTGGTCTGGGTGACTATAGTGTCCCTTTAAGGGAATATCTATAAATTGTGATTCTTTTTCACATTTTATTTTAACCCTTACCCCAATTGTTAGAATAGAGTGTAAGAAGTTAAAATAATTTACCGAACCCTAATTTGAACACTTAATTAACCCTAAATGTCCCGTGTGCCTAAGCTTAGTGAATGCACTAACTATAATGAAAGTGTAAAACTAGCTTTACTTACCTTCCAGTACCTTGCTGTGGAGGAGTAGCAGGCATGCTAGCACGCATGTGCAGCACAGGATCCAGCTGATTTTCCTCACCAGACGTGACGAGGGTAGGGGATTTTGATAGAACACCCTTAGTCCCGTAATGTAAAACACTGTAGTTCCATAGAAACTTCAATGTTTACATTGTTGTACAAAGACAGCCTAGAGGCACTTTCAGGATTTAACCGGACTCCAGGTTTTCTAATGGACGCTGGACATCGATATCCAACGTCAATGATATCCCCATAGGAACGCATCGAGGCAATGCTTTTCTATGGGGAGGGCCTAATGCGCTCACCATACATGCGCATTAGGTCCCCCAGTCGGAGAAGGCGGAGCACTGTTCCAGTGCCAAGGGACATTGGATTTTGGTTAGTAAAGGGTTTTTAAACACTTTATATGCCTAAGGGGGAGTGAGGACCAGAAGGTTCTATAGTATTAGGAATAGAGATTTGTATTTCTAACACTACAGATTCCACTTAATCTGTACTCGGCCTTGTAGTGCTTCTGCAAGGGAGTAGATAGTTTTAAAATTTTATTAAATACCCTCCCACCTCCCTCGGTCAGAGTGCACTCAGGGAGTGTGAGCAAGCAACATAGTCCAATCAAAAGAATCTGTATAAAAAACAAAATCATTTGCTTCGACTCTACTCAAAACTCTTGGTCACATTGGAAAATACGTGGAAGGCGGCTGGTTTTATTGTAAAATGTGTGTGTGTGGGGTGGGTATAATGAATAATAACCAATTGAGCTTATTAAAGGACCATTCTAGGCACCCAGACCACTTCTGCTTAATGAAGTGGTCTGGATGCCAGGTCCCTCTAGGATAAAACCCCTTTTTTTTTTTTTTATATATAAACAGAGCAGTTTCATAGAAACTGCTATGTTTATAAATGGGTTAATCCATCCTCTAAAGCCTCTAGTGGCTGTCTCATTGACAGCCGCTAAAAGGCGTTTGTGTGCTTCGCACTGTGAAAATCACAGTGAGAAGACGTCAGCGTCCATAGGAAAGCATTATGAATGCTTTCCAATGAGACTGGCTGAATGCGTGCGCAGCTCCTGCCGCTCATGTGCGTGCAGCTCATGCCGTGCATGCGCATTCAGCCGAAAAGAAGGAGGAGAGCTCCCCACCCGGCGCTGGAAAAAAGGTAAGTTTAACCCCTTTCCTTGCCATCCAGCCCGGCGAGAGTGGGACCCTAAAGGTGGGGGCACACTCAGGGAACTATAGTGCCAGGAAAACGAGTATGTTTTCCTGGCATTATAGTGGTCCTTTAAGTTTAAAAAAATCTAAGTTTTAAAAAGGCATCACAGTAACCCTTTAATAATGATATTAAAAGCATGTTGTGGTTATAGTACTTGGAGTGTCCCTTTAACTTTTATTCTCTATGCATTAGTCATTCAGAGAGGGTTTTATATTCATTCACTGTCTGCCTGTACTATGACTTTTAAACTGGTTGTCTTCATATGTTGTAATTTTCACAAGAAAACCACTTGAAATTAGGTTAAAAATATTCATTATAGCCAGTGAGTAGTATTTTGCATATTCTCTTTAAATTTTAAGACATTTCACGTATAATCTGCAGTAGTGTTTAGCACTAATTTATCTTGGTTTCATTTTTAAAAACGTAACCATAAATAGGTTATATAATATTAAGTTATTAGCATTCAAACTGTTTTTTGGAAGCATGCATGTACCTGAAAAACTCTAGTAACTTCCAGAAAATGATAGGAACTGTAATATGTAAAATTATATTGAGCTGTTTATTCTTCATTAGCAAAAACATTATGTTAAGGATAGATATGAAGTCAACATGTATATTTACAGAACACTATAAATACCAATAGAAGGGGGTCATAATTACTAAACACATTTAAACGAAATAAAACAAGTCATTCTTGCATTTCAGTTTTTAAGACCAGTATAAATATGCATTGCAATGATGAATGACAGACAATTTCAATGATAATACAGCTGTCCTATTCTGTTTTATTTATACATCTATGAATAAAAATGTGTAACGTTAACACACTACAATGCTTAAACGTAAGGAAATAAATGTGAGAAAATATAAACATGCTAAAAACATACATCAAAAAAATTCTCACCTCAGCTTCTTTCTCTTGTGGCCGCCGCCATTTTGATTCGCGCAGTCACGCTCTCGAAAGGTACGCGCGCGCGCATCACCCGTTATGTGACGTAATTGAAGCTCGCACATTTAATCGCTTTCGCAAAACTTTAAAGTGCACGGACGAATTTAGAAACGCGCGCCCCTAGACGCGAGGAGGCTAGTCAATAAACTAAAACCGTCCTCACAGACATAGTGACGTAAGGCCAAAACATGTCTCTGTGTGTTTGATAACGGCGCCATGTTTAGGTTGGGCAAAGTACAAAACCTGGGAGGTGCTAGTTGTGTAATATACATCTATGGACTCGATTCGAGTCACTCATGTCGCTTCATCTTATTGAAATGGTCTGGTGCAGTGTATCTGTTCCCTTAAAGGGACACTATAGTCACCAGAATACCTACAGCTCAATGCAGTTGTTTGTCGTCTGTCCCTGAAGGCTTTTTAACCCCATAAGGACACTGCTTCAGAAGCTTGTCTTGCGCTTAACGACACAAGCAATTTTTGCATTTTGTTGCTGTTTGTGTTCAACCTCCGTTTGCATTTTTCTTATTTATTGCACCAACACATGTTATATTGATACCGGAGAAACTGACGGAAGCAAAGCACAGAGGGATGGACACAGGTTTCTTCAGGAAGGAAGAGATTCTTTATTGGATCACCGATCGGGACTCAGAGGGACTAATGTCACCAAAAATACAGCAAGTTCTGAGCCCTGAACAATAGTGCAGGCTCCCTATATAGGCACATAACTCCTCCCATATTAAGCTCCACCCGCACATTCTCTTGACCAATCATTACAAATAAGAATTAACTTCCTGCTTGACCGCATGGCTTGTCCAGCACAATGGAGGAGGGGAATACTACATCCTGTATTCTTGCACATGCTCCGTACACTACTGATCGTATCTTGCCTCGTGCAACCAACTGATCGATACGTCAGCATATGCACGTACACATGCCACGTGGTAATCTCGGCCTACTAAATTTATTTTTACCGAGATTCCACCACATTCCCCCCTTTGATGCCTCTTGATATTTTACAATTACTTGAGGCATCACTTAACCTTGGTTTGCATACACCACAAGTTACCTTTGAACCAGACCAGACTTATCCTATGATGTGAATCTTCAACACTCGTCTTCCTGCATTGGTTCTCCCTGATCTAGAGCCTTATATTTATAAATTGCCATTATCTGTGCAGCAGCCTTCCTCTCTGCTATATTTTCTATCAGGCTTTGCACAGACCTAACTACTAAGGGTATAAGACACGGCAGGAGTAGACACAACATTAAAATCAGTAGGACTCCACCTACCACTGCCTTAAGCCCTCCAAACCACTCATACCAGCTACCAAACCAACTACTTGGATTGTACCCTTTCCATACCTGAGTAGGCACATGCGCTAGTTTAACCATATGGCTAGTAAGCTCAGCTATTGCTTGCCCTTCGTCATCTATTTGAAGACAGCAATTGCTCAGGTTAAACTTCCCACATACACCTCCCTCTACTGCCAAAAGATAATCCAAGGCTAATCTATTTTGGTAAACTGCTGTCCTCATCCTGGTATTATGCTTCGCTAGAAGATTGAGCGCTTGTGATGTCTCGTTAGTAATGATCTCAACCACCGCCTGTAACCTTATAATGCGGTTGAGCATATAAATAGGGGTTCTATAACCAAAGGTACCATCCTCTGCCCACGTGGCTGGCCCATAATAATCTATAATACGCTGGGGAGGCCATTCATTATCTTCCCAGGCACCTATCTCTATGGGTCCCCTTTTCTTCCTATGATTCACATCATACACTTTAACACCTAAAGTCTCACCTGTTTCAATAGGCAACAAGAAGAAGGATGGTTTTAACATACCCAACACACATGCCCCTTCCCAGTCCTGTGGTAACTCCGAATAGGCCTTCTTACCACAGATCCAGTACAAATTCGCTGGGGCTCTCCAGTTAGATGTGATGGATAGATCAAACCATACGTCCTTTAAATTGGCATATCTTGCAAACGGGTTAGATGGTTCTGAGACATTTGAAGCCGACCACCAAGTTGTATTCTTTGTATCATCATCATAAGCTTTTTGCCCTAGACAAGTTAATTCTCCTACAGAAGTATTATACATCATTCCTTTCCTCGCTATGCAAACATAACCTATGATGGAGGTCTTCAATCTCCACTCAGATTTACCTCTAACACTCATATGATAGTCGGCTTGTGTAGATATTAATTGGTCAACTGCCTCAGAACCGGACATTACCTCCTTTGCTTCCCAAGGCCATTGGTCTCCCATGTTAGTACCTCCACACACATAGCAGTTGGTAACATTAAGACTACCGGCAATACTCTCGGCTAAATCAATGAACAAGTTTTTAGCATTATGGGGATCTTATTATCTATGCTCATCTCTTCATAAAAGGAATGGTATACTTGATGAGTTTGGGAGGTTACCGTATCAGTCTCTATCCCTATAAACAATATTGTCCCAGGGTCTAAACCCGTCCCATATATTTGAAACCCAAATAAATTACCATATTTATCTAAGAACTTGTCAGGGTTATTTATAAGTATATGGATTGGATTGCATTCCATAGACTTACAATATGGATTAGTAGGCAACTTAGTCACAATCATGTCCTTGTCTGCTGTCTGTCCCCAAGTCGCCCACCCCACACAAGACCAATATGGGCAGAAGTTATAATCTCTATTTGGGCATCTTGGACTTACATATTTATTTTTACTACTGGGACAAATATATTTATCGTTAGACCCATACGTCCTCTCCCATCTAAGATCCCCACATACATTCCACGGCTTTCTACCACTTGATATTGCTTTACACGCATCAAATAGCAGAGCACCTGAAGAATATACGGATTTTAATACCGCCTTATTAATTAGGGTCCCCTGAGAATCTCCATTTCTGAGAGTCAACCAAATTGTACGGGGTTGATACTCAGGACTGAAGCACTTAGGTTCTCCTACTCCTAAATGACACACACTATATTCTATATTTAAGTATCTACATCTTGATACATCTCCTTTACACTCATATTGCGAATGCCAAATTAGGGTCTGGGATATATGGTTACCTGTTCTTGTAGTCTTAATGCATACCTCACAGCTAGGAGTGTTGGTACCTCTACCTTCCTGAATATAAAAATACACATAAATAAACATTATTAAAAATACATCTTTCGTCGTCATCCTCAGTCTTCGTCCGTGTGAAGGCACCTCAGCTTCCAGGATGTAAGGACTGCAGGGAATGGAGTTCTGCTCGTCTTCACAGGGGTCCCCTCAAGACTTTCCCTGACTTATACACTCGTTGGTGAGTGGACAGGCTTTATTATGGCCTTCTCACTCACTTACCAAGTCTCTGAAACAATAAAATTTGTAATCTACAAGGTTCCTCGTCACTCCGACTGAGTCGTGCGTTTTAACCGGATCTTGCAGGGATTCTCTGGATTTGCTGTAACTTGCCAGGAATCGGCTGCTGCTGGTTTAACCCTGGAGTGATGTATCCACGGAGCCACTTCGGCTACTTTTATCGCTGTAGGGGTAGACAGAAGAACAACATAAGGACCTCTCCACTTGGGCCCTAACGGCACATTATTCCACTCTTTAATCCACACTTGGTCGCCTGGGTGGTAACTATGAATTGGGGGATAAATATTCACAGGTAATCTATCTTGTACCCATTTCTGTACCTCCTCCATAGTCTTACCCAACTCTACAACCTGCTGCCGGGTAATTCCTTCTCCCAACTGACTCAAATCCCCCCTTAAGTTACCAAGCACGGGAGGTGGTCGCCCGTACATGATTTCAAAAGGAGAGAGGCCCATCCTTCTGGTAGGTGTACTACGGATTCGCAATAGAGCTATGGGCAAGAGAACGTTCCACTTAAGTTGGGTTTCCTGACACATTTTAGCCAACTGATTCTTAATAGTTCTATTCATTCTCTCTACCTTACCAGAACTCTGGGGTCTATATGCCGTATGAAGCCTCCACTTTATACCAAGCATATGAGTCAATTGTTGTAGGCACTGATGAACAAAAGCTGGACCATTGTCCGATCCTATAGAGCAGGGTAGTCCATATCGGGTATTATTTCTCGTAGCAGGAATCTCACGACTTCTCCTGCTTTCTCTGTACGAGTAGGACATGCTTCTACCCAGCCTGAATAGGTGCACACCACTACCAGCAGGTAGCGATGTCCACCCGATTTAGGCATCACTGTATAGTCAATTTGTAAATCGGACATGGGAAGTCCCCCCATAAACTGGACTCCTGGTGGCTTTACTGGTCCTTGTCTTGCATTATTTTTAGCACACGTTACACATCTACGTACAATGGCCTGAGTCAAGTTGGACAATCTTGGTATGTAGAAATGTTTTCTGAGAGATTCTTCTGTACTGTCTCTCCCAGAATGTGTCCCGTTATGATAGTTTTGGACAATTTCTACCGCTAGTGATGCTGGAATAACTATTCTTCCATCTTCTAACTGATACCATTTGTTCTCCAAATACTTTCCAGGTTCAGTCCTTAACCACTCCTCTTCTTGAGCTGTATAAATTGGAGTCCATTGAGACAGTGGAGTTGGTATAAGAGCAGCTATATGCCCCACATATTCCTGTCTTCCTGATTCAGCAGCACGCTTAGCTGCACTATCTGCCATCCGATTCCCTTTGGTTACATCACCATCTCCTCTCAGATGCGCCCGACAATGTATAATACCGACTTCTTTCGGCTCCCACACTGCTTCCAATAGTTGTAGGATCTCAGCTGCGTATTTGATTTCTTTGCCTTCTGAATTCAATAGTCCTCTTTCTTTATACAAAGCTCCGTGGGCATGAGTGGTTAAAAACGCATACTTGGAGTCCGTGTAGATGTTCACTCTTAAACCTTCAGCCAATTGTAACGCTCGTGTCAGTGCTATCAATTCTGCCTTTTGTGCTGATGTTCCTTTTGCCAGTGGCCGAGCTTCTATCACCTTGTCTATCGTTGTTACTGCATATCCTGCATAGCGGATCCCTTCTTTTACATAACTACTGCCGTCGGTGTAATATTGAACATCAGGG